ACTTCATCTATACTCTAATAAAAAGTTCCCCAGACCAAAGAGGTCACCTTAATACCAAAAAAAAAAATAATAATAATATTTAATTTAATTTGTTTTTCTTTGATTAAAATTTGTTTAAGTTCTGCTTTACACTCCTTTAAAGCCATTTTTCTTTCTTGTAGTGCAATTTAACATTTTATTTTATCTAAATCTTTCTTAATATTTGTTGAAGAATCTTGATTTTTAGAAGATATACAAACTTTTTTTATAGACATTTTAGGTTTTAGATTAGACGATTAGACTTTTTATTAGATTGTCTTTTTTTGATATTTTTTGAGCTTTTAAATTAAATATATTTTAGTAAAATATAAATATTATTATATATTAAATGTAAAAGTTTACTAGATTTTTTAATAAATTTTATTGCTCTTAACATAATTCCATGATTAGATCTGTGCAATGCAATACTACTTTTATTATGAGTTTCAATAATATGAAAAGTTTTATTATCTTCTAATCATGCTCTAAATATAATTAATATATTATATATATTAATTTCTATATATGGAGAGACCCCCAGCAATAGGTGGCTTCAGGATAATCACATGATCATGAAAAAATCGCAATTAAAGTTAATCACATGAAACCCAAAATTTTTAAAAATGATTTTTGTTATTAGCTATGTTCACACCGTAAAACTCATTAATAAAAAATTTTCAAATTCAATAAAAAGTTTACTATAATTGTAAAATAATGCTGTGAATATATTTAATTAGTAAGTAAAATACGATTTGCTTAGTAAAAAGTTTTTTTTTTATATAATATAATTATCATTCAGATTTCTTCAGAAATTTTTTGTATAACTAATTTATTGCCAAAATTGCTATATATATAAAAAGAAAATTGCTATTTGTTGCCAATAGTGATATCACCAGAGATAATATATCTCAAAATCTGCTATCTAACACATGTTGAAGATACTAAGTAAAAATGTTCAGGACCCCCAAAAAACCTAACCATAACGAAGATTTGGACCTTTATACCTAACCCTAACCTTGGTCTAAAATTGCACCCTATCTCTAAATTTAATAAAAGAAATAAGAGGTGGTGATATTGCCACTGACTATAAATACTAAAATTGTTATAAAAAACTTTTTACTAATAAACTTTAAAATTTGATATCAATAAAATACCAATTCTAAATTTATGTTTCAGATAAATTTTCTTCAAATTCATTAGTTTAGGGCAAGTAATATCATGGAAGGGAATATCTACATATTGTGCAATTTCCTTGTATAGTTCCTCCTGTCTTTTTAGCGAAAGTAGTCTAGTACTAATTACATAATATAATATATTAGTATTAAAAAAAAAGAACAAATTGTCATATTTTTGTACTCATCTTCGATTTTGTCTTAAAAAAAACTACTACAGGGTTTCGTGAAGTAAAATTAAAATGATATTATCTGTGAATATTGGGTAGTTTTTTATACATCTCAAAATACTTTTTAAAATTATAATACTAAAAACCTTCTCCATCTAAATAGTGCTAAGCAATATTAAAATTATTTGTAGTCGAACGATTAACAATTGAAACTACATCATCCACAGTATTTACGTTACTTTTCTGATAAAGAATTTTAATTAGACCAAAACAACTATCGCAAATGAACTTTGTATGTCCAGGTATCATAAAATTTAATTCAACTTCCTTATACATACTACAATCAATTAACTACAAATAAAAGAATAATGAGTAATTATTCTTATTTTGACCTACACAATTGTTACACATAATGATTAACTTTTTTTCTCCATGATTATATTTTTGGATCGCATGCTACACCAAACTTAAATTGCAGTTTACTTCTTTTTCTTGTTTACTATCATCAGGCATTTCAGCCTCATTGATTATATAATTTATTTGCTGTATATTAGGATAGTTGCCTGTGTTACAAACACCAAACAAATGTATCTTATGAGAAATTTTAAAAAATAAAGATCCAATTTGTTGCGGTGAATATGAGATTTGTAAATTTTGAGCCCAGTCATATGTAATATGTGCACAACCTTCGAAGGCTTTAAATGATATAAGAAATTTAGTAAGGTATGGATTATGTTTACTATCTTCAATCATATTTGTTATATTATTATTATAATAATCATATTTTTTTTGTACGCAGTTTAGATGAGCTATATAATTTTCTGTAAGTTCTACTTTTTTTTCATGTTGCATAGCATGCTGAATTTCTATTTTCATTGTTTCACATAGTTCACACAGATTAGATTTTGGAGACATAAATTGAAGCAATAGTATTAAAGTCTTCCAGATTCTAATAAAAGTAGTTTCAGAGATAACACGAGTATTATTTCTATGCTTATCTTTATAAGCCTGTACATAATCGTGATATATTGAAGCATAGATGTAGCTAGTAAGAAGAAACACAATGAGTATAGTGATTTCATTAAAATGTCATCCAGGTGAAGGCATACTATGTATGTTAGAATAATTTTTTAAAAATTTAAATATATCACATGCTATATCATAATTTACTTCAATGCGATTCATATTTTTTAGAATTTTGCCAGTATTACTATGTACACGTTCTTCAAGGCCATGTTCACAAAAATGCTGAGCTTTATTCTCTAGATATTTATGACTAACTCCAACAAGAGCTAGATAAGTATCACGACAAATTAAAATATCATTATTATAACAATAATTATAACACCAATACTGTCTACTATTACTAGTTACTTTTTTTGTATTTTCTTTTTTTGAAAAGCTAATAATTGTCCTTTAATAACCATATCTCGCATTTTTTTATCTAGACTTTCAAATTCAGCTCGACATTTAAGAAACTGATCATAGCTAATTTTTTCAAAACAGGGTTGCTTAGTAGAATGATATGAGCATTTTTTTTTTTTCAAAAAATTTATTAACTTCTAATTTTAATTCATTATAGATTTTATCTTCAATATCATTTTAGAAATATCTACAAACTCTAATTCATTCAACCTATTCAAATTAATATTATCATCATCAATATCAGATAATTCATCGTTCAGTTTTTCATTGTTTAATTCTTCATCCAATTCATCATCAGTTAACTCTTCATTGATTAATTTCTCATCACCTTTTTCATTTTCTGAATCTGAATGCTCAACAAAAAAAATGTTATCTAAATCTCTTAAAGATTCTAAAATAATTTTATTTGCTTTATTATTGTTAGAATATATGTTATATTTTCATAATTTTGTCAGAATATAAAATTCTAAATTGAGGTATCATTATTAGCTCAAAACAATAAATAAATAAATAAAATAAAGCAGTAATATGTTCGTAATGCTGATAATTTCCCAGGTACTCGATTGAACAGGCTTTCTACATGACAAAAACAGACTAACAATTAGAGTTTTAATGCCTACAAATCTTTTAAATCAATTAATTATGATCTATTCAATTATCCTGATCAAAATCTGGTTTAATAGAATATCATTCATATTCATAACAGTAACACTGTTTTACAATTTAAATTGCTATTCACAACTATAACTAAATCTTGATTATAACAAGCTAAAATGCCTCTAATATGCACATCTAATCACTAATCTTAACTATTACTATTATGATAAATATCAAAAGCAATTACTGCTGCCGTAAACGAATCATTTATTATATAATTGAGAAAAACAAATCTATTTCCATAAAAATAAGACTATTAGGCAGGTTATTACTAAAAAATCTCAAAATATAATTGGCTGTCCCGAAGTTACCTTTTGCTAGAGTCCTCTTATATAGTAAAATTAATAAAGATTTATCAATTACCTTTCAATCACAATTCTCACATTAAGATTTATTCTATATCTATTAATTTTAGCATGACAACTTTCTGAAAAATTAGTATTATTAGGAGTAGAGTACCAAACTTCAAGTAGAATTTGAGAATATATCCCTTAATTAGTAGAGATTTGCAGACAAATTTGGCTATATAATTACTATAAATATGTCTCTGATATACTTTTTTAATTATTTAAAATATTTAAATAAAATTTAATATAATAATATTTGAAGATAAGGATTATATTTTTGTAGTATTTGTATTTATATTATAAGACAAAATTTTAAGATTGCTTATAAGCTAAAAATAG